TTGAATGCTTCCTGTAAGGCCAGGCTGGCGCTGAGGAATCTCCTTGGTGTTTGTTTTGAAACACTTTACATTTCTCCTGCATTTCTGAAATGAGCTTTGCTGTGTACAGCATGCTGAGCTGTTTGATTAGGGCTTAGGATGCCTCAGGCAGTTAGTTCTCTCTTGGCTTGCGAAACCTCTATGGAGAGGTCGGCTCTCCATTTAACGAAGTTCTCTAATGACTTGTCATGTTTTCCTTGCTGTTTTTAGAATCCTCTTGTACTTGTACAATGCACCTGTGTATGTGCATGGGCGCGTGCACACGTGTGTGGGCATGTACATGTGTGTGGAGGCTAGATGACCTCGGTGTCATCCTCTCTGAGACAGACTCTCAGTGGTGTGGAGCTTACCAAATGAGCTAGACTGGCTGTCCAGTGAGCCGCGGGGAATCCTCCTGTCTCCACATGCCTCCTGAGCGCCACCATGCTTGGCCTTTATGTGGTGCTGGAGTCAAATTCCAATTGCTATGTTTGTGCAGCAGGCTCTTTCCTGAGCAAGCCCTCTATCTCTCCAGGCCCTGCCTCATCCTCCTTGCAGTGCCTCCAGAATATTTCTCAGAGACTGTGCCTTTTGGTCAAATCTAGTAGGGTCCTTTTGAGCCTCTTGGACCTACATGACCATCTTTTGTTAGTTGCGGAAATGCCTTGACAGTTATTTTGGTGAGTAGATTCTATGTGCTTTTTCCTCCCTTCTTCTGGAATACCCATAATGCAAAGGTTTGCTCACTTAATGGTGTCTCTCTCTGTCTTTCAGTTGGGATGGAGTATTGCCTACACTGATTAACACTGGGTTTGGAGTGTCTCTCAGTGTCTGCAGGTTGTGATGATGTTGCCTCCTTGGTTGGGCCTATGTGTGTTGCTTCATGCCTGGTACTGAGTCAAGGTGGCGTCAGCATCTGAGGTCTTCACCATGATGAGTGGTAGCTTAGTGAATAGTGAGTCAACACAGGCTTTTTGGAATGACCCAAACACAGGAAATTTAGTAGAATTCAGCCAGGGTTAAACTGCATTTTCCCAGCTTAGCTCCCTTTGCTTTCTGAAGGACCTGTTTTGGGGCTTACCTTTTTAGAAAATCATTATGAACTATGCGTGTGAACTTTAGTATTTGGAGGTGGAGGAGAATGAACAGGGGCTGAGTGACACATGTCTTACTTTCTGCATCCTGAAATCCTGCCATGTCAGAAATGCCCGATAAACATGGAAACTGAGAAGTCTGGGTGTACTCTAATGAAGACAAAAGTTGCAAAACAATTTTAATTATAAAATTTGAGAGGACTAATAAAATAGAAATGTTCAATAGCAAACACATATTTTTTTGTTGTTGTTGGAGGTATTTTTTTACTTCATTAATTTACTCTTACATGCATGGGAATTTTGCCTGCACTTATGTTTGTGTAACACATGCATGCCTGGTGCCCAAGGAGACCAGAAGAGGGCATTGAATCCCAGAAAGTTGGAGTCACAAATGTTTGTGAGCTGCCTTGTGTGTGCTAGGAATCAAACCTGGGCCCTCTGCGGTGCTCAAAACTGCTGAGCTATCTCTTGAGCACCTGTCTGAGACATTTTTAATCGTAAAAGTTTAGGACAATTTTAGCGTTTTTTTTTTTTTTTAAAGAAAACTTTAAGCACTAAACAATTTTCAATTTCAGAGAGTAGGTAAAGATTATTATTACTATTATTTTAATTAGCCTTGTAACCTAGTGTGTTTTGTTAGCAAAATCACCAGGGAAGTGGATCATCTGAAGAACTTTGGCAGGTAAAAGCTAACTCAGTTATTTTACATATATGTTTCTGTAAAAAGAAAAAAAAATGAAGGTTTAATCAAGAGAAATTAATGTCCAAGTTTTAGATTAGAGACATGCATATTGTGAAGATGATTTTATCTTAGAGTCTAAAAGGCCATGTTTCTAAGAAAGTCTGCTTTGTCACCTGAGTAAACTGCTCTGCTTGAACACTCACTCCTTTTGGATTTTACTGTGCCATCTGTGCTCGTGTGTACATACATGGGTAGGTCTGTATGCAGTGGCGAATCTTCTCCCCTCCCTCCCAAAAAGTGATGGATACTTGTGTTTGCACATGTGTGTGTGTTTGCCCTAGACTTGAGCCTGGTTCTCTGGAAACTGCTCTAAGTAATCTGGAGACAGTCATATTGTATTTAACATGCCATTTTCTTTCAGCATGCTTTTCATTTCTACTAGAAAAATGACTCACAACTCCTGTGGTTTTAGTAAACAGAGAAAGACAGTTGGGAGGTGAAGCTACGCAAGTTAGCTGGAAGGTCAAAATGGATGTCATCGCTGTACAAGGCTTCCTTAGTTTGAAATGTCTGATTTAACTGTTTTATAGTCATCTCATACATTTAAGTGGTTTTTAATGTCATTAAAATAGCAACCAATTAATACATTCATGCAATTTATAAAAAAAAATGAACCAAATGCTACAAACTCTTCTGCTGCTATATTTATTTATAACAGTGCGTGCTGGTTAATGTGTGCTTGTATTCGAAAAGCGTTTCAGTAAATGTTTGCTATTCGCACATTGTGGACAGCTACAATCTTGCACCACTATTCAGTAGGCGAAGCCATCAAAGTAATTAGTCTAAAAGTACTTCTCCATTTATCAAACCGTTTATGGTATTTGAAAATTGTGGGTAAGATGGCTTGTGGATTATGTTAAGATGAGTTCTATGGAAATAAAATGGAGACAGGTTCCTAGAACAGCGGAACTATCAGCAGGTGCTCTAGGAAGGCTTATGAGGGCCGCAGAATAGAGGAGGGGAGAATGCCTAGGCAGGAGGGCATCCTAGTGGAGGCTGACTTTGAGCCGGACTGGTGCGAGAGTTGGCCCCGTTGGAGGGATCCGACTGGGCTAACCTCATTGACCTGTGTATGTCAGCTACTATTTGTGGTTGGCCATGGGGACAGTGTGGGAGGGGAGGCTCAGAGTGAGGTGCCCCTTGGTGGTGGGGATTATCCCCTATTATAAAGACAAAGAATAGTTTGAAAGAAGAGAAACTCAGCGGGCGCCCCAGTTCTGTCCGTTTCCCCTGTGGGGAATGCCCACATACATATGAATCAGACAAGGATGGAAATTCAACTGTTTTCGAGGCCTTTTGATTTTAGAAATAGTTTAAAACATTAGCAAGGACATGGACTTTCTTCTGTTGCTTGTGGGGTGATACTGAAGCCATTCTCCTGCTAACTGCTGTTCAAATGCATCCGTGAACGAAAGCGGTCCTTTAGAGAGGACACACGACATTGTCTTTGACAGCCTGAGGGCATACTAAATGCCAAGGGCATGCAAGCCAGCTTTTCTCCTAGGTTAATTTTCCTACTTGAAATGTTTTATTTGCAGAAGGCCTTGGCTATCTGTACAAGCAGAATCCATCCGGTTGGAACCAAAACACTCAATGTAGTCACGAGTGACTTCATTTTAATATTTCCCCAGCATTAGATAATTATGACATGTTGAACAATTTCCTTTTGGTAGACCACCTTCCACTTTCTATTCCTTCCTTTTATATAGTAGAGATGGAGATTTTTTTCTTTTGAATTTTTTTTTCTCATACTCCTTATCAGTATAGTGAAGGAACTAGGTAACCTCGTATTAAAATGGTAGAATTCCCATTTGTTCCACTCATTAAAAGGGTAGGGCTATTTTCTTAAAATGTCAAATGTTTTTTTTAGAGGCAGAAAGATATATGAAAAAAATTAAATTGCATAATTGTAATATCATTGATACAGTAGGAATAAACAATGGCAATCCATTTTGGATCAAAGAAATATTCGCTGCTATTAATACTTCCTCTGATTGCATGTGTATTTGATTATTCTAATTTACCTAGCAGGAATAATAATAACATGCAAATAAAGTCAGAACATAAAGAGGCATTAATTCAGTTGAGAGTTCAAACTGACGATGCAACTTTTTCACTTTGAACAGGACTTTGTAATACTTCATGCAGAGTGCGAGTCACAGCATAGCTAGAAGCTGCGGGAGGGGACAGGGGCTGATGGAGCAGACAGAACAGGTGACTGGGAAACTTGCAGCATCTTGTTTACAAGTGATTCCGTTGTAAACACTTTCTCCCTTCAAGCCTCATGACTTTGATTTCAACCCCTGAAGCCCACATGGTAGAAGGAGAGAACCACCTTCTGTAAGATGTCCTACAACATCCTGTGTGCTCATGTACACACACACACACACACACACACACACACACACACACACACACACAGTAATAAAAACCCAAATTATTTATTTAGTCATCAGAAATGTAGCAGCATTGTTTATCTTTTCACTGTCAATATGTAGCATTACTCACAAAGCATGAGGTAAAGAGAATAAAGTAATAGATTACTTGACTTGCTTTGGAGATCAAACTTCAAATAAATGCCTCCCAATCTGTCTTTATTTTTCTTTATATAAAATGTTCATCTGTTTTTGTTTGTGTTTTTTTCTAGTATAGAAATGGGAACTTTGTTGAATAAGAAAAATTTCTTTTTAATCTTTATCCCTAATAACTATTTTCCAGGGTTTATCTGTTCCATTCACTGGTGATGGTTTTTAAAATATTGCTATAGGCAAGACAGAATAAGTGTTAAAAGAATATCGTATCTCACCAACATCTTTAAATTATTCCTGGGACTCTGGCAAGATCAAACCAAGGACTCAAAGAACCCACTGGGCTTGGGCTTAGAAATTCTCTGGAACAAGAGCTCAGTGGGTAACATTAAGGGGAAAATGCCTCAGCGAGAGGCTTGCTGGGGCATGCCCATGATCTGCTCCCAGGGTGAAGCTGGGGGTGTCTTTAGACCATCCGGAACAACGTAGTAAGACCTTGTCTTCAAAAAGGCTGCATCTTCTTCAATGATTGTCACAGGCCAATGGCTTGAACAGGTTGAAGCCCCTTAAATTCTGTGATCTTTCACCTATGTGTGTGACTTTTTTTATTGCTCCCAGGAACTTCCAACTAAGTAAAGAAGAACAGTGGATCTACCAGGCCGTTTTAGATCAGTACCCTGGAAATCTCCCTGGCAGAAGGACTCTGTACTTGGACATGCTGCAAAGATATTTTCCGTACAAATCTAGGCATCATTTGGTGAGCGCATCCCGATGATGAAAATGCGTATCCTATATACCCATGAACTGTAGCGCTTAGGGCTCCATAATTTGTAAGACAAATATATGCGCATTAAAAATACTCTGAAGATTCTTTATTCCCTCATGATAGAAGGTACTGTTACAGACTGCAAACCTGTGTGGGTCGTTTTTGAAGTCAGTGACGTCTAGAGGAAGTCCAGGGTCAGTCTGTGTATGCTTTCCCAGCTTCAGAGCAGCCGCTTTACCCCTGGACTTCGCACCATCACTTACCTGCCCGCCATGGAGGTTCTGCCGTGTCTGGCTCTTGCCCACCTTCTACCCTCAGAGCCTGCCCCTGGGCAATGGCACTAGCCTCCATCACCATAGCTCAGCCTGATTCCCACATGGTCCCAAACACAGACGCTGCTTCACTTGGACCAACAGAAAGTTACCAGGGAGGAAATGGAGAGATTCTTTCATTCTGTGGTAGGCAAGACTACAATGGCAAGAGTCGAGAAGTTGCTACATTACCAGTTAGTTCAATGGGAATTCACCTCGTGACAGACACATGCAGATTTAACTTTTAAGTGAGCTGTGCTATGAAGTATCATGTAACTGCTTCAGATGAAGGGGTGAGTGGGATACACCCAACACGTGTTTGGAAATTATTCTGTCAGTCCCGTGAAAGTCCTTCTGCAGTAATGTCTGCAGAAGAAACCAAGGTAAAGAGCTCTCAGCTAGGGTGGCCATCCTCTTCCATACCCCTTGTTCTGCCCCATTCCGCTCTCCACCCCCGTGTAGCAAACAGTTAATTCTGGTCTTTAAGTAACTCACTGTAGCTCTTTAAAAATTCTTCACTGATCACATTAGAGGTTTCTTTTTATTCCCAATTAGCTCTGCTTGCCTCTGCAACCAGCCATCAAGTGTAACTCTGTAGATTTTTATATTTTATTACTATTGATGTGGTAAAGATTTTTACATTTATTTTTTACATTGGATTGATTGCTACAGATTTTGGCGTGGTCTATGCTCCCCTTCCTTGATGTTTGACAAGTGTTAAGTGTATTTTCAGCTTTATAGAACAAAGCTAGGAAGTTTATAGGATGTGTTTTCTATCTGATTAAAGTGAGACCATGGCCTGCTTTATCAGGATCCTAATTAACTCCTCCTAAAGCACTGTTTTATGCAGGGCGAACCTTATCTTGCATCTTTCCTAATGCTAGCAGCCACTTAGGGATCAAATAATATGTCAGCCTCAGAGGTGTGGGCTAAACTGGAAAAGCAAAGACTTCCCTCTCGCAGTCAGAGTCATTGTACACTCGCCTGCAGGGATTTTGGATAACACAGGCTCCTTGGCTTCTGCCCCGGTACCCTGCACTTCCTGACTCTGTGCCCCACCCCCCAGGAGTCTGTACTTCCCAAGGCTACTATATTCAAGACTGGAGGAAGTGCCTGTGGTCAGCATGAGAACCCATGTCCCTCAAGGGGTGGGGGGAGGGTGGGGAAAAGAGAGGAGGCCAGAAGGGTGTCAAAACTAGAATTATTTTTAAGCATTCTAACAGCTGAGCGCATTAGCGGTTAAAAGCAAAACTGTGATTTCCTGATTATGGTGACATTAAAAAAAAAATTCTAGCAGGGCTGGAAGAGATGGCTCAGTCGTTAAGAGCACTGGCTGCTCTCCCAGAGGACCTGGGTTCAATTCCCAGCACCAATATGGTAGCTGACAACTGTCTGTAACTCCAGTTCCAGGGGATCTGACACCCTCACACAAAAATGTATGCAGGCAAAACATCAATGCACATAATTTTTTTTTCAGTAAAGTATATTGCTTAACTGAGACAATGTAATCATATAAAATAGCAAAACTGACTTAAAATCACATATGGGGACAGACTGATTTTTGTTGAAGCACTGCCATTTAGAATTAAGAGCCAGCCTGGCGAGGTGGTGCATGCATATAATCCCAGACTCTGGGAGGCAGGGACAGGCAGATCCCTGGGAGTTCGAGGCCAGCCTGGTCTACAAAGTGAGTTCAGAACAGCCAAGGCTACACAAAGAAACCCTGTCTCGAAAAACTGAAGGGAGAAATAGAATTAAGAGGCATTGCAGGGACCACCTGGCCTGCCTCCATCCTATCTGAGGAAACAGAGGATTTAGAAAATTAAGTGACACCAGTAGTTGTCAGTTAGGCACAGTCTCTGAGAAGTAAAGCTTGTGTATTTTTTTTTTTTCTGGCTATGGTGAGGCTGTTTGTCCCCAGTTGCTCAAAATTATAATGAATTTTGTCCATTTCATAACAGTGACATAAGCTAAAGGTCCGTTTCAGAATGATGAGCAACTGCCATCTGTCACCCTTGCAGGTAGAACACGAGAAACACTATGACCAGTATCGCTTTGCTAGAGAGCAGAGAAGAATCCTGATGGACAGCTGGGCTAGGAACAGGAGAGACTTTATCCAGAAAGCCATGCTGACCCTCGTCGAGGCCTGTGCAGCTCATGAAATGGAGAGCATGTTGGCCAAGGACAGGAAACGGCAGCAGGAGCTGTGTGCTGACCTGAAAGCCAAGGTAAGCTGCTGCGGCAGGAGCCCTGATACAAGGATGTGCGTTAAGAACCTGCCCAGGCCAGGCCACGATGGTGCACACCTCTTGTTCCAGCGCTCAGGAAACAGGGAGGTGGATTTCGGAGTTCAAGGCCAGCCTGATTTACAGAGTAAGTTCCAGGGCAGCAACGGCCACACAGAGAAGCCCTGTCTTGAAAACCAAAACAAACAAACAAACAAACAAACAAACAAACAAACAAACTGTACTTCTGTTCAAATTCTACCTGAAGTTCAGTTTCTCTGAAACCCGTCTTGATGAAAACCATTGCATTGAAACATAAGATTCTGCAGTTCATTCAGGGTGTTAGTATTGAAATTTTAGTGGTGACATCCATACACCAGGCATGGCTAGATGGAACTGCCTGGCACTGAGCCAGACACCATTCTCATGGCAGAGCTGAAAAGGCCAAGAAGAAAAGACTCACACGGAGCGCGTGGGAGCAAGCTTGATGGCCTTGTGTGGCCCTCAGCAAGGTGTTGGGGATGCAGATGGGCCTTGGCTTCTCCTCTGAACCAGAGAGCAGGGCTTCAGTATGCTTGGAGAGCCTGTGGTTGAAAAGCTGGAGTGTGGGTGTCTGCCGCTCTCAAACAAATACAGAGGCCCCGCCTGCCCGTGAGAACTAAAGGTAGGGTCGCTGATGTGCTGTGCGCTTTTCCTCTGCAGTCACAGGGGCCAAGGGTGTTCAGGTGTAACACAGTGGTATAGTGATTGATATATCTAAAAACAAATGCCTGTTCGAAAACATTAGAGAAAGCTTGCTTGGTCAGCCTTTTTTATTTTTTGGGTGGGAAGATTTTCTTTTCACACTGCCTAAGTTTGGAACCTAAAAATATAGAGGTTGGATCTAGGCTGATCTACCCCAGGCTACAGAGCCAGCACAAGTTTGCAATCCTTGGAGGCTGCTGGGAAACAGAGGTCAGAGTCAGGGGCGAGTCCTGTCACTCCCAGCCTGAGTCTGTTCACTTTGCAAGCCTTGCCATCAGCCCTGGAACTGTGCTGTGAGCCATGTGTGCAGCCAGGCACTCAGGTGAGCTACAGAATGAAATTTGCTTATTACACCCTATGTGAACACTGAGCTAAACTATACTGCCCAGAAAACACATTGCTGTGGCTCAGAGGCTTGCTCCTGGCCCCCTCACCCTAAACACTCTCCGACTTCATCACTGAGGGTGTGTCTGTCTATTACAAACTGTACGCATATCCAATCACTGAGTGTGCAGACTTTTCACTTCTACTGCCCATAATATCTGCTTGAACCTTGTTTCATGTCGAAACAATTTGTTCTTTATAGTGTTGTATCGTATTTCATTTTATAGAAATACAATTTATTTATACCTTTTCCCTAGTTTTTGCTATTCTGAGCATAATTGGCCATGCCTTCCCGAACCGACATGTTGATTTCTATTGGAAATCTATTGATTTCCAATAGATTTCCAATAGATCCAATCTATTACCAATCAATAGAAATCAATAGATTTCCAATAGGAGCGGAATGGGTGGACCAGAAGGTTTGGGTGGATATAGCTTGAGTAAATCATGCTAAAATGGCTTCCCAAAGTGGCTGCACAGATCTTCGGCCCACATCATTCGCATCACATTTTCACTGTGCTGACTAAGGAGCACCGCTTCACTGTGGTTCTCTCTTGCACAGAAAGGCTGCAGATCTTTCCATACCCTTATGTCTAGACAGCGGACCCTCCACTCAAGTCTTACCACTACTCTCATGGATTCCCTGCTTTTCTGTTCCTCATCGTATGCTCTTTACATGTTCTCTATGCAAGTTCTGCTTGTCTCTACTCTTAGCAATGCCCTCAGATAAGAAAACTTTTTATAGTCTTCTCTCATATACTACACGCCGACCTCAGATTCCCCTCCATTCTTTCCCTCAACTCTTTCCTCACTTTCCCTCTCCCCCAGATCCACTTCTCTCCCCCTCCCCCCAGAGAAGAGCAGGCCTCCCAGGGAAATCAAGCAAACACTGTGTAACAAGCTACAGTAAGATCAGGCACATGCCATCACATCAAAGCTGGACAAAGCAACCTAGTAGGAGGGAAAGGGTCCCACAAGTAGACTAAAGATGGCACCCCACCACCACTCTGTTAGGAGTCCCACAAGAATACCAATCCACTCAGCCAGACCATATATGCAGAGGACCTAGGTCAGACCCGGGCAGGCTGTCTGATCTCTGCACGATTCCATGAGTCACAGTCAGTTGATTCTGTGCATCTTGGTGTCCTGGTGTGTCCCTGACCCCTCTGGTTCCTCCAACCCTTCCTCTCCCTCCTTCACAGGACTTCCCAAGCTCCACCTAATGTTTGGCTGTGGTACTCTACATCTGCTCCCATCAGTTGCTGGATGAAGTCTCTCTGGTCTCCTCGATAAGGCTTCTGCTAGGCTCTGGTCCCAGCACACTTTCCAGGCAGGACAGTCTGTAGGTCGACAATTTTGTGTCTGGGTTGGTGTCCCAGCCCCTCCACTTGAGGCCCTGCCTGTTAACGAAGATGGCCAGCTTGGTCCCCTTGTCCCCCATTGCTAGGAATCTTTGCTAGGAATATTCTCACACATTCCATTGCACTAGGTTTCCACGTGGTTCCCTCCCCCAATTCCAGCCATTTTTCCCGGTATTTTCTCCCTCCCTACTCCAAACTGATCTCTCCTGTCCCCAACCCAACCTGCCCGAAGTCCACCTGTGAAATCTGCCTTATTTCCCCTTCCCCAGGAAATCCTTGTGTTCCTACTTAAGCCCTCCTTTTTACTTCATCTCTCTGGGTCTGTGGTCTGTTGTATGATTGTTTTTGTTTGTTTGTTTGTTTGTTTGTTTTGTTTGTTAACTTTACAACTAATATCCATTTATAAGTGAAAGCATACCATGAGTGTCTTTCTGGGTCTGGATTACCTCACACAGGATAATGATTTTTTTTCTAGTTCCATGCATTTGTCAGGGAATTTCCAGATGTCCTTGCTTTTGTTACCCAAGTAGTATTCCATTGAGTAAATGGACCACATTTTCTTTATCAATCCTTCAGCTGAGGGACATCTAGATTGCTTTCAGTTTCGGGCTATTACAAACAAAGCTGCTGTGAACATAGTTGAGCAAGTCTACTTCTGATAGGGTAGAGCATCCTTTAGGTCTATGCCCAGGAGTGGTATAGCTGGGTCTTGAGGTAGAGTCATTCCCAATTTTCTAAGAAACAGCCATATTGATTTCCAACATGGCTGTAGAAGTTTGCACTCCCACCAGCAGTGAAGGAGTATTACCCTTGCTTCATATCTTCGCCAGCATGTGCTGTCACTTGTGGTTTTGAGCTTAGTCATTTTGACAGGTATGAGATGGACTTGCAACGTTATTTTGATTTGCATTTCTCTGATGGCAACAGATGTTGAACATTTCTTTAAGTGCTTCTTGGCCATTTGAGATTTCTCTATTGAGAATTCTCTGTTTATATCAGTGCCCCATTTTTAAATTGGATTGTTTAGCTTGTTGATGTCTAGTTTCTTGATTCTTTATATATTTTGGATATAAAGAACTTTTCCCATTCTTTGAGTTGCCATTCCGTACTAATAACAGCATCCTTTGCCTTACATAAGCTTTTCAGTTTCATGAGGTCCATTTATTTATAGTTGATCTTAGTATCTGTGCTATTGGTATTCTGTTCAGGAACTTGTCTCTTGTGCGAATGTATTCAAGATTATTCCCCACTTTCTCTTTTATCAGGCTTAATGGATATAGTTTTTTGTTGCTGTCTTTGATCCACTTGGAGTTAAGTTTTGTGCAGGATGATAGGTATGGGTCTATTTGCATTCTTCTACATGCAGACAGCCAGTTAGACCAGGACCATTTGTTGGAGATGCTGTCTTTTTGTCTATTGTATATTTCTGGCTTTATAAAAAATCGGGGGCCATTGGTATGTGAATTTACATCTGGGTATTTGATTTTATTCTATTGACTCATATGTCTGTTTTCATGCAATTCCATGCAGTTTTTATTACTACAGCACTGTAGTATAGCTTGAAATCAGGAATGGTGATACCTTCAGAAGTTTTTTTTTACTGTATTGGGTTGTTTTAGTTATCCTTGGATTTTTGTTTTCCCATATGAAGTTGAGTATTGTTCTTTGAAGGTCTGTAAAGAATTGTGTTGGGGGGGATGGAGAAATGGCTCAGAGGTTAAGAGTACTGCTTGCTCTTCCAGAGGTCCTGAGTTCAATTCCCAGCAACCACATGGTGGCTCACAACCATCTATGAGATCTGGTGCTTTCTTCTGGGGCTCAGGTGTAAATGCATGCATTACTTTGTATATTTAATACATTAAATAAATCTTAAAAAAAAGAAAAGAAAAAAAGAAAACCACGCTTAATTAAAAAAAAAAAGAATTGTGTTGGAATTTTGGTGGAAATTGCACTGAATCTATAGATTGCTTTTGGCAGGATGGCCATTTTTACTATGTTAATCCTACCGATCCATGAACATGGGAGATATTTCCATCTTCTGATATCTTCTTCAATTTCCTTCTACAAAGACTTGAAGTTTTTGTTATATAGGTTTTTCACTTGCTTGGTTAGAGTTAGTTAACCCAAGGTATTTTATATTATTTGTGGCTATTGTGAAGGGTGTTTTTTCCCTGATATCTTTCTCAGCTGGTTTGTCATTTGTATAAAGGAAGGCTACTGGTTTTGTTTGTTTGTTTGTTGTTTTTGAGTTAATTGTTTGTATCCAGCCGCTTTGCTGAAAGTGTTTATCAGCTGTCAGAGTCTCCTGGTATAATTTTGGGGTCACCTATATATGCTATCATATCATCTGTGAACAGCAATACTTTAACTTACTTTCCAATTTTTATCCCCTTTATCTCCCTTAGTTGTCTTACTGCACAAGCAGAACTTCTAATGGTGTTTCATCTCAGCAGTTCGTTCCTTTTTATTCCTGTTACAGGTGAATCTGATCAGTTGCATTTATCCTCATGACTG